TATAGGATATCTATAGTTAGACTCATCCAATGGTGGAAGATCTTCGGCTACTAAAGTCAATGTGTAATAAGTTGATTTTAGTAGTCACTGATGGTCTAACCTAACCAAGGAGCTCTGTATCGGAGCATACCTCTTTGCCAAGCAGGTAGTTTGAATCGCCGGTCAGGCGCTCTGTTTACTGCTTTATATCTGAAGCAGTGCGCAGTAACACTTCAACAGGCGTACGGTGGGATTACCCCGTATGATATTCATACTAAACTATCTGTACCCGTATCACTCACTAGATCAGGTTACCCTAGGATCATACCATCCTTTCATAGACAACAAATCTATATATAAAAGGGATGAGAAAGCTGATATGCTAGTTAAACTCTACTTATCGTTCTTTAGTTTATCTAGAGCGATTAAGTTAGCAAAACGGATTTATCCGTCTTTGTTTGCTAGCATAACTGATCCTATGTCTGACGTTCACAAATTTTAAGAAGTCAGAGATTGGCTACGAGGGTTAATACGTAAACTAGCCAATCGGTACCTATATCAAGCCCTCTCACGCCCCCTTTACCAGGGAATCTCGTGGGAACCGACTTGGAAGGCTCTGCCAACGGATCGTAAGCGACCTGGTCAGTCTCGCCGTGAAAGAGGCATATTTGCCAATTTTACATCACAGTGACTCTGGTTCGCTATGCTCCGTTTATCGATGTCTGTTAACCCTGCATTAGCATTAGGAATGACGCAGAAGCTTACATCGAAAGGATCAGCAGCCTTTTTTATGGTCATCCATTACCACCTCGTGATGAATGGGATGATTGGCTATCCAATATATCAGCCAATAGTTCTGTTACAATTAAAAAATGTATTCTGATGGAGTTTGACAGTACTGGTGACTTATTTTGCTATCCTGGCGGGTTCTCGCATTCAGTTGAGTCTGGTGCGGGCAAGAGGAGGGTGTTTACCATAGGAAACTATGTCAATCAGAGGCTTCTCCGACCTCTCCAGCCCCGAAATGAGGCTATTTTCCTTCTCTACGACCACAGACTGAAGTTAGAAGATCCACCGGAGATAGTCCTTTCTTTGACCTACCTTGACTTTAGTGGGTCTACGAATCCGCGGAGGGACAAGTCTGCTAGTGACCAAGCATCGAGTCAAGATAGGAGCAACCCCCCATTCAAACCAACCTATAAAACAAGTTTTCACTAGGTTTTATCTGGAAGGCGGGAAGAACTCTATTGGAGCATTTGGGCGGGAAGCCCTACAGTAATGGGATCCGTTACTTGACTTGTGAAGCCCTGTGCTCGAAGCAAAATAAGATTACTTGCACAAAGAAAGTGACCAAAGATATATTCAAAACTTAGAAAGAAAAAGGCGCAGAACGTTGCAGGAGTTCCTGGAAGTTTACCTCTACCTACTATAGTACTCAAATGACTTCGTTCCTTGAAAGCGCTCTCTGCTTGATCTGGCACTACTACTAAAAATTCGGGTGATAGACGAAGGCGTTGGTCCATCGGTGCCTTAGGGGCAATCATCTGCGCCAGTGTATAAAAAGAAATTTGCAATTTTTACAGTAGCGAGGAGAGCTTATGGACAATCCATTAGGATTCCGGCGGCTTTTGCCACTTATGATCCGTGTTCACAAGAGCGAGACGGTTCAATGTCTTACAATGTTCAAGCAGCATTCTTGCCGGAAGGATTTTTTAGGAAGCCCGGACACCTACCGAACATCCCTGAAGGATGGAACAACATGATGAAGAAGGCGGCGAAAGTGTAGAGGAAAATCTGGGAAGAGAACAAGGAGATCTCTGAAAAGGGGAGGCAAGGAAGTAGTAGAAATGTTGAAGAGGAGACAACCCGCTCTTGAACTTAAGACTATGCGCGTCGCGTGCTCGATCTAGCAATTGTTTTGATGAACTGTCATTCAAAAAGAAAGAAGAGAAAGCAAGTACACGATAGCTATCGATAGCTCTTCCATCACCCTATAACGCACCCTCTCTGAAAGTAAGTCCTTTGCTAAAGTGCTCAAGGGGCTTAGTCGTGCAATTCGTCGTGAAAAGAGGAAGTCTCCCTTAGCTAGGGATCTACCATACCTAGTTCAAATTTAAGCTGGTGAAATGCTACCTTACTTGTGTTTTATGACTATCTTTCCTCCTTTTTCATGCTTTCTTGAATTTAAAAAGAACCTAACATCTTAAGATCGGACGACGGAGTTGAACTCTAGTTTGAGGATGGATTCTCTATGAATAGAAATAGAGGACTTTTCTATCTAAACTTTAGGCCCTCAGGAAAATGGTAGGCTAATCCATTTAATGAAAGTTATGCCAATTGAAACTCGTACCAGAAGGCAGGAGCGGTAGTCAGCTGTCCTCGTTCTCCTCTTTCCTTCCGATGAAGGGATCTTGCTCGCTTTTCTCTAACTATAATTGGTTCAAAGAAAGGCTTATCTGGTTCATGGAGTTTCGATAAGCAGTACTAACGGATGCTCCTTTACTAACTCAACCTAACGGATTCGGCATCATTACTATACAATATTTTTCCTTGAAAAAAGTACAGTAGATTATTATTATTCTACTAGAAGTACTCGATTCTGCGTTATACTAACTACTCTATATATCAGTATGTTCGAAGAATCTAATCTTTTTCTACTGGTTCAGCAAGCTAGCCGAACTATCAAACAAACAAAAATCACAATAATAAGGATCGAAGGGCTATTCTCCTAACAGTAAGTACTAGGACTAAGACATTCCCGGAGGTTCCTACAATTGAGAAAAAGTCTCCATACGAGCAGTCTTGATGCCATCCTATCCTTCCTACAAACTACATATGTATAGTGGGAGCCTCCTACGAACCAGTTGCAGTTGTTTTGCCATTCGCTGGGGTTGAAGTTTCTTATCAGCCGGAGATCCTAGTTTCTTTTTCTTCTCCTATAGAATTGACTTACTTACTTTATACTTTAGAGTAAGACTTTCTTCCCAGTTAGAAAAAGAATATCACTATCAATCAGCTTGAAAGACATCAGAATCAAAGGCAAGCCCATCTAAGATAGTTTGAGTGTTTGCTTAATCTGATACTTCCCGAGCTTTTCTTTTGCCTGTGCGGAGTCCTTAGTGCTTCATTTCTTCGGTCCCGAGCAAATTTAAGCTAGAAAAGCGTAGCTCTCATGATTTCTTCGGACCATTGCTCTATTTTTTTGTCGTATCAGCTTTGATTTGACTTTCCTTGTCCGTCGAGTCAGTAGTCGATCTAGTAAGATTCTTGTATGATAAGTAGCCCATTCTCTTAGGCTTCCCTTCAGGCCTAGTAGTAATTCTTCTTTCTACTCCATCAAGATGGTCAGTGCCACTGTCTTTCTTGATTCATGTAGGATGGGTTGGTTAAGGCGAAGCAGGTTATCAAGAATCCATTCAATTAGATGCTGGTTCATTGGCCTTGCCCCTTTCCACTCCTTCACCTCTTTAACTGGGTGGGGGACAGGCAGTTGAACTCAAAGCTGCTGGAACGAGAGTTTAAGAAAGAGGCGGAACATCGCTCTCCGTGGCAGCAAAGGGAAAACGAGATATTGATTCAGTCGGAGATAGACTTTCGATGAGCTCCAGTAGATGCACAATGAGATTCACCCTGTATTGACGGTGTTAGTGCTCTATATCAAATCATTCTGTTTCGGAGTACCTCTTGACTGTAAGATGTCTAACAATGCCTTCATCTTTGCAGAACTTATTGAAATCACAGAACTCCAACTTGGATGTACTCTGACCAGAAAGAAGACCTCTCTTGCTCAACATTGTCAGGCCTTTCTCACTCATGTGTCCCAGCCTCATGTGCCATAATATGGTTTCATCTGAATCTGACATGGAGGAAGATACAGCAGCTGTGCCTGTAACGGTAGACCCTTGCAACACATAAAATCTACCAATCTGATGAGCCTTCATCACAATTAGAGCACCCTTCACAACCTTCAAAACACCATCACCGAAAACAAATTTACAACCACCAAGATCTAAAGTGGTCAAAGAGATAAGATTCTTTGACATGTCTGGAACATGCCGCACCTCAGTTCTCACCGCACCGTCGTGCATTTTGACCGAACCAATACCAACTACATTGCAGGGGTGATCATTGCCCATCAACACAACTCCACTGTCAACCGATAGGATTGGAACGTCATGGCAATTCGTTCTTGACTTTAGACTAAGGTAAGTCGAAATTCGGTTGTTTTTTTTAATTTTATATAGAAGAAAAATCCATCCGCTCTTCTTCTTCCTTTGAATAAGGAAAGTGACTTGGAATCTTTCTCTCTCTCTCTTTGTCTCATTGCTATCAATCAACGGTTCGAAAGCCAAGGAAAGAAAGTGGAAAATTAGGGTTGTGACTGGACACCACATCGGTGAGGATTGCGCTATGCCACCTGTCCGTCCTTACCTGGGTGGGAGTACTGCAAAGCTAACGGTAGGTCAGACAGGTCTGGGATCATCTTTCGGCTGGAACAACCTTTATTATGGGCATGATCAGCTAAAGATCACTGTCATCTCACGAATTGGATTCGAACCCAAAGACTTTACTTTATTAGATCGTGAGTCTATCTGTCGTCCTCCTCATTCTATTCAAGTCCTTTTAGTAACAATCCATTCCCCGAATACAAAAAATGGAGATGAAAAATATTAGTCGACCTTATGTCGGAAGTTAACCTGGTGATAGCCTAACTCCCTTAGTTAGTCAATGAAGTTGTTCCAAATGGAACAGCGAGCGGTGCCAAAGTTGCGATTGAGCACACGGAAATGCTCAAGACGCTCATCGATGTCGTGCTCCCAGTCGTCATGGAGAGCCACCTCGAGCGCACGCTTCACATCCTTTGGTTCCTCGAGAATGATCCCCTTCCTTCTTCTGCAAGAGAATGTGGGCTCTGTCTATCATGGCTGTTTTTACAGGCCATATTGATAGCATCAATGGCCCTATATAAATGGTCATCCTCAGGTTCCGGCATCCTCTGCTGTGCCACCCAGTGTTATGCGCCCGCCGGCTGAACAGCCGACTGCTGGTTAGAAGTGGGCAGGTCCCCTCGGTTCAGGGCTGAAGAGACCTCCTGGTCGAACGCTGTTGGATTTACATTTTATTTTGATGGTCCGGCTTCTCCTCCCTGGGGGTTATATGTGAAGGCCCCACTTCGTCATTCAAAAAATTCCGGATAAAGTAACAATCAGACGAAGTAAAAGGCCAAGAAGACGAACTAATGGAGGGAGACGTTTTGGATTGCTGAGGTGAGGGTCCTGGTTTCTGAGGTGCTTGATCACCAGGATGCTCAGGAAGTTATTTGGTTCTTGTTGGATTTCGGGGAACTGCTCCCTTTCCTCCGGGGGAGGCAAGGGAGGAGAGTGAGGGAAAAGAGTAAGAATCGTCTGATAAATCAGATCTATTCCCGTCGGCACAATCAGTAATGACTATGATGGGAATTCCGAAGAAAAAGAGGAATAAGAAAGCAAGAAAAAGGGACAACTTTCGTGTAGTTTGTGAGCGCTTCCTTTTTAGGTTGATAGATCTATAATTGGGGAGGGGCTCTTGGCTTTCTATACGTTGTTGTTTCCTGACCACGAGATGTTATGTTTGCTAACAAACTAATTGGTAGTAGACTGATCTACTTTCCTCTTCTGAGAGCGATAGACTTTCCAACTGAGATGGAGAGAATGCGCTCCTACTCTCTTTCAATCGCCGATGTTAAAACATCGAGGGCGTAGACCCGAGGGGAGGTTGAGTCAGCAGCTAGTTTTGCCTGCCGGAATAGGAATAAACGATGCAATTTAATCTGTAGGAGGAAGGTAGAGCAATAGATGGAATGAGTCTTAGTTTCAATATCCCCTGCTCTTGTTGTACTGTTCATGGCATGGTTTGGTGGGACCAAGAATTGCTCTTGTTCCCGGACCGGGAAGTTTTTGCATTGATGCCGGGAATACACACTCTCTTTCTCTTTGAAGGAATCCGCATGGAAGGCTCTCGACCGGGTCGTGGCATTGCTCTGGAGTGGAGCCGGGGAAGGAGCGAAGGGCAGAGGATTTAGCTTTGGCTTTGGTTCGGTTGACCGTATGACTATAGTTTATGTGGTCTTGTTCAAATAGAATAGGTCCCTTTGGGTGCTATCACATAGCCCTAAGCAGGGCAAGGAAGGTCTCTACAACAAAGAGATATGCCAATTAGCGGCACACTTACTATAAACC